CCCCACATGCTTAATTGTTCTAAAAGTTTAAAGTCTCTTAAACCACAAATTGTGCTTAAAGCAATTCTTTCTCCTCTTTGGCATTTAAATTCCTTACATTTTACTACACAGGTGAAGGAAGAGATAACTCCTTGAATTCTACCAGGCTGAAATAGCCAAGCACCCTCTTATCATAAGGTGGAATTTTGTCTGTGGTCATCCCAAACCCACTCGCTAAGTTTTGTTTTGAATTTGTCTGTCCTGGGCACAGGTAAGTACCTACATTAAAGGAAAGCTCTCACTAGAGCCTTCTATTAATGCTTTCTGTCAGAGAAGCCCTGCACATTGCAGATGTGCACAGGGCAGGCACAACAGGACAGTTATACTACCACTGATTAATTTATCTCCTTCTAATCCATTTAGTGAGGGACCTTCTTTCCCCACCCCTCCAAGTTTAACTATATGCAAAGGGAGCTTATTACCCCAGTCCTCCAATCCCTTTATATTTTGTCCCTCTGCATCAATAATTCTCCCCCCCCCCAGCAGCATGACAGGAACAGATTTCATTAGTATGCTCAGCTTCCTAACCACAGGCCATTAATAAAGGTATTAAAAAAAGGTGCCTCTGGATATTATTCACTTGTATTTTCTCTTTAGGACCAAAAGCTGCTAGACTGCATTTACTGCTGTCCTCTCTTTACACAGTTTTATACGCATTCACACAAGTATTAGAAGTTCTTACGTGACACCACATCAATCAAATGCTACACTGCAAAGCTAATTTAATTCCTTGTGAAGATTTACATTTTGTTTTTCCCCCCAACAGGAAACAAAAAACCCAAACCCAAACCAACCAAACAAAAAAATCCACCTTCAATAAGGTAACCAAGAATGCTGGTAGATCAGATCAAATTAAGAGCTGTATAGACCCAAGATCACATTTCCTTCTCCTTCGGTAAGCACTGTTCATTAGCCCACAGCCATGCTGTTCTAGCCACAATTTATTAGATTGGTTTGTTTTGCAAGAGGATACAATCCACCTAAAGCACCATCAGGAATAAACTAGTGCCATGAATCTAGGAAAAATGCACAGAGCACACAGACACTCCAGTAATGAAACGAAGCAAGGCTGAGCAAGTAAGTTTATTTAGCATTTCACTCATTTCCAGACAGCACAGCAAGATTTGGACAAGATGACACCTTTTACATTTCCTTACAAAATAATTCATTACCTGTAAAACCTAATGAACCTCTGTACAGATTAGATAGAAGTCATGCATGTGAACAGTTGATGAACTCCCAGCCATAAACCCTCATGAACTGGGTATAGGTTATATATTTATAGCTTACCTTGGAGAGATCTCATTATTTTGTAACTGTTACACATGGCAGAATGGCTGTGTTAAATTACATATTAACACGTGTCTACATTAACAAATATACTTATTTCAGTATTATTTTCTGGACTTTACTAAGATTTATTTTGAGCATGGTAAACATGCATCAGATACTACTAATTGTGACCAATTGTGACAGACTTGGGAAGTCGGCTTTCTAGCATTTCACTTTGGTACTCAATTAAGATACAAAATCACGAATGTCCTACTGTTAATGGATTCACCAGTGGTTTATTGTGAAATAATAAATTACAAACATGATCCATCAGCTTTGTGCATGCATTTATCATTTTTGTTAAAACAATAGTTTCATATAAAGGTTTAGCTTACTGGGTTGTGGGTGGAGGGGCCACAGGGGAAGGTGTTGCCAAAATTTTGCTTTCTGTCATCATAATCTTTACTTGTAAATAACTGATGACCAGTGTGTGAGACTTCACACACAGCAGCACAAAGTCTGCCAAGAAACACCGTATTTACTTATGCCATGTAGACAAGACACATGCAAACAAGCACAGGTAATAAATATTTAGCATCCATGCTAAATACCCAGCAGAAACACACTGCTTCCCTGTGCATCCCAAGAGGTCGTGCTATCGTTCCTCACACATGCCAAAGGCTGTTGTCACATTCGTCCTGAGCACAGTTCTGCCTTTGGAGTGACAGCTTTACATCCTCTCTCCATGCAAACTGACACGAATCCTATTTAGCTGTATTAAGATTAAATGAGCTGAGTTGGGAAGGATCCAAATCCAGTCTCAGTCTAAAGCAGACAGAGTGAACAGTGTGTTTTACTAAAATAGCCTCTGCAAAATTCCTTTTTTCCATTTACAATAAGGTGGCAGTTAGCCCCACTGAACAGCAGATTAAATAAGAAAAAGGCTTATATTTACGAAGTATAGACACAGAGTCTCATCCATAAATCCCAGCCAGTAGGTCACACCTCAGAAGTTTTTACAGTACTACTGTCCTTCCCTAGTGGATGGTGGTTTACACCATCCACCTTTGTTATTCACTGACTACTCAGCTAAGAAACAAAGAAAAATCACCATCTCTGAGGGAATGCAAACCTAGCACTGCCAAGCAAAAGGATAAACACAGCTGTATTTTTTTAAGAGATTAAAGAGTTTTTGTACACCTATCCATGGCTTCCAGTGCAACTTAGTCCTAAACCAGGATTTCAGATTATTCTAACCAGGATATTTCAAGAAAGCACTCTAATGAGCAAACAGCTAACAAGGCAGAAAGAGATTATTCACACACAACCTTTTATATCCATACTTTATCAATTATATATTTGCTTCCCCAGTTACAGAAGGGCCCTCTCAGTTAGATGTTATTATACACAGCAATATATCACCTCCTACTGATGAAATACAACCAGAGAGACTGAAGATTTATCAGTTCTTCAGACTGAACACAGTTTGGTTTTGGCGTGTTTTTGTCTTTTGTTGGGTTGTTTTTTTTTTGTTTTTTGTTTTTTTTTTTTTTTTAATTAAAAAAAAAAAAAAAAAGTTCAACTAACTTTAACGTTATGGTGATAAAACATCAATTACTTATTACCACAAAGATAAGCTTGTTTGCTCTTATTTCACATTTCATTTAAGTGAGCTAATACTCACATAAGTCCTTCACTGCATTGCATTTTAAGAAATATTGCCTCTATTGAAAATAGATAGTAACAACAATCTGTTCTGATTATGCTCTTCAAAGTTCAAAAGTGCGTCTGCTCCAACGACTTCTCAAAGCTCCGCATCAGGCAGTTGGCTCCCCAAGGGAATTACCGTCTCTAACCGGCACAGTAGCAGCAGACTTTAAAATAAAACAAACAAAAAAAACCCCACTAGAAGGTCGAAAAATCCAACCAAAAAAGGAAACAGGTCTTCGATAACGACTGGTAAAGACCAGTGTGGAGAACTTTTATTAAGAGTCCCTAGCATTTCGGTTTTAGATCGCAAAACAAGGCGGGAACAAGGTTTTTGCTATGTTTACAGATGCATACATGCTTCCTGTAGATAAATGCATAGGCCACAAGCATACTAAATGGCAGCCGGCGCAGTTGTATCATTTCTCGTTAAGCGGGAGCGTGATGAAACCTCTTCTTTCGAGAGTTACTCGGGAGATCTGTGCATGTCTTAGCACGGAAGCGCTACACAAGACGGAGCAAATCCACCGCCTGATCTCTGGAGCACAGAGACCCGGGGCTCCGTGCTCCCCTTGCCGGCGGCGGGACGGCGAGGAGATCCTCCAGCCCACCCGAGGCGCCTCCGTCCTGCCCGCGGCCCTGCGCCCGCAGGCAGCCGCCCTAGCGATCCCTGCCGCTCCAAGCAGCCGCTGATGTGGCTCCCGAGCTGGGTGCCCGCCGCTCCCTCCCGGCGCCGCGCACAACTTCCCCGGGCGCTCCAGTCCAAACGCCCCGTCCAGTCGCGGGGAGCAGGGACCGGGACTCAGCCCTTCCAGCCCGGCAAAAGCCCGCGCCGCGACACCCGGAGGCGACCGCCCCGCCGAGCGCCGGGGCTCGGGCAAGCCCCCGACGCCCAGCGCCGGGCGGCCCCGGTGCGGCCCCGCGGAGCGCCTCCCTCCCACCGCGCCCCACTCACCGGCTTCGGCATTTTGAGGGCTGCTGCTGCTTCTGCTACTCCCGACACAAACGTTCATGCAGCGCCTGCCTCGCCTCTGCCGAGCGCCCCGTGCGGAGGAGGTGGAGGAGGAAGGAGCCGCTCCCGGCCACGGCGGCAGCGCAGCCCGCGAGTGCGGCGCCGGCCGCCCGGCGGCGGGTTAAGTACGGCAGGTGGGGCCCGGCGGTGACTCACCGCCGCCGGCCATTGCCCGCCGCTCCCCCCGGCGCCTGCCGAGCGCGGCACCGGCCTCGCCCAACCGCGGGGCACCCCCGCCGGCTTCCCTTCGACGTCCCCGGCGCGTAGGGAGCACCGCGGCCCGGAGCCTCAGCAGCCCCCGAGCCCCTCGCCGTGAGGGACGGGCG